TGAGACGGAGCACCTGGAGAACCTCCAGGTCCAGCACCGGCAGACACCAAAGGGGGAGGGCCAGCAGTCGCAGGCTCCGTACCTCCAGGCTCAGCAGCCCCAGACTCAGCACCCCCATGCTCAGCAGCTCCTGACGTAGCACCCCCAGACTCAGCACCCCCAGGCTCAGCAGCTCCAGACACAGCACCCCCCGGCTCAGCACCCCCTGGCGCAGCACCCCCAGGCTCAGCACCCCCAGTAGCAGCACCCCCAAGCGTAGCACCCCCAGAATCCGCACCCGCAGTCGCAGTACCCCCAGGCTCAGCACCCGCAGCAGGACCAGACTCAACAGCAATCTCGACTGGCTCGACTGCATCTACCTGAGACACACTTGAAGGGGCAGGAACCTGAGGGGGGAGGGGGTCTACCGGGGGGGGACCTGGCACAAGGAAGTCCGGTGGCGGGGGGAGGGAAGGAGTGCGGTAGGGGAAGAGGCGGTAGAAGGGGACGGACTCGTCGAACGTGACGTCCTGGGAGGACAGAACACGACGAGAGGAGGGGTGGTAGAACTGCCACCCTGGAGCGTCAGGGGGGAAGCCAAGGAAGACACAGGGAGCAGCACGAGGGGACAGTTTGTCCGCAGACAAGTCGCGGACAAACGCGTGAGATCCCCAGACACGGAACGCAGACGCATCGCCGACCTTCCCCGTCCACAGCAAGACTGGGGACATCGCGGGCCGAGAGACCCTGGGGTGAAGGTTGAGCTGATGCGCCGCGTACCGAACCGCAAACGGCCACAGAAAATGGGGGGCAGCCGCATGCATCATGGACGTACGAGCGACATCCATGACCATGCCAATGCGGCGCTCAGCAATCCCATTTTGCTGTGGAGAGTCCGGAAGCGTAAAGGTCTGGCGGATCCCCCGTGCACGACAGTAGTCTCGCAGAAGGCGAGAGGAGAACTCCCCACCTCGGTCAGAGTGCAGACGCAGAACTGGAAAGTCCGAGCCGAAGCTCCTCCTGAGCTGGAGACAAGCCTCGCGGATCCAGTCGATCAGCACCTCAGTGACAGCACCCTTGCTGCGCAAGGGGAAGACTGTGGTGTAACGCGAGTAGTCGTCAACCACCAACAGGAAGTAGCGCTCGTGACCCTGTCCACGGACGGGAGCCGGGCCCCACACGTCCATGTGAAGTGTCTGCAGAGGAGCCTCTGTCGGGGGAAACTGGGAGGAGTGAGGAGCAGCCCTGAGGCGCCCCTCGACACAGGGGACACAGGAAGGTCCTGGTCCCGAAGGAAGGGGAGGGAGAGACTGGGGAAGACCAGAGACAAGGACACGGGAAGCCATGCCCCGAAGACGGGGCAAGGAGGGGTGGCCAAGACGGTGGTGCCACAGGAGAGTCTCGTGAGACAGGAGGCGACACGAACAGGGGGCAGACTCAGGGCCAGACCGGGACGCAGCAGCAAACACCTGACCTGACGCAGCTACCTGACCAGACGCAGGGACAGGAGGAGACTCAGTGGTCAGGGTGTAGAGGCTCGACCCCGGCCGACGAGAGAACGTGGCCAGGTGCCGGCCTGTGCGTGCGTCCGTGCAGTGGGTCACCCGCTGACACGCAGGAGTGAACTGGTGAACCCCCGCATCCTGCAGGTCCGCACCACTCACCAAGTTCGTCGAGAACGAGGGAAGGTACAGACCAGACAGGGTGCCCGAGGGGGCAGCCGGACACGGGAGGACAGTGGAGAAGTGAGAGAGGACAGGACCCCGAGAGGGGTCAGCCAGGGAGACTGCAACCGGCCGACCAAGCGGCGTGAGTGTGGTGCGGTCTGGAAAGAAGGAGCGAGAAGCTCTGGAGTCAAGTGTGAAAGTGAGGGAGGCCGAAGCCGACGCAGTACCTGAGAGCGCAGCCTCACCAGTACCTGAGAGCGCAGACGCACTGGCACCTAGAGCAGCAGTCTCACAAGCACCTAGCGCAGCAGTACCAATGCCCGGGTCGGGCGGGAAACACCGGTAACAGTCACCCTCCTCACTAATAGTCACAGCATACATAGCAGCATCTCCGTAAAGCCCAAAAAAAAAAAAAAAAAAAAAGCATACATAGCAGCAAGAATAGCATCAAAGTCAAGATCAAAGATAGCTATACCAGCCCTAGACAGCTCTCCCCAGCGGGGAATCTCACTAGCCTCGGGGAACTGCTGACGCCAAGCGTCTGTCAGGCGGCCAAAGCAGCGCTGGGTGGGGTGGGCACCCCCACACTGCTCACCCGCGCGGTCGCCGGACCGAAGGACGTAGGTGCAGGGACTAGTACCCCCACCCCTCTGACGCTGCGTGTACCACTCACGGAGCTGCTGGGCCGGAGGGATGTCCCGCGAACGCTGCTGCTGCTGCTGCTGCTGCTGCTGCTGGCGCTGACCACTACCAGCGCCGCTCCGCTGCGGGGCACCACCCCGACCAGCTCCACCCCCTCCGCCACCACCGCCTCCTCCTCCGCCTCCACCGCCACCTCCACCCCCACCGCTACCGCCACCACCGCCGCCTCCTCCGCCGCTGCCACCACCACCACCGCCCCCGCCACCACTCCCACCGCCACCCCCACTCCCTTCGCCGCCTCCACCGCCACCTCCACCGCTCCCTCCAGCTCCACCCGCGCCCTTGCCCCCCTTGCCCTTGCCAGAGCGGCGTCTCCCGCTAGGGGCAGACGCCGCGCCGACCGACTCAAGACCAAGCAGGTCGGCAGCAGCAGAGGCAACAGAGGGCAGCAGGGGGGAAGGGGAGCACCCCTCAAAGATGGGGGTGCGAGGGTCACCACGAGAGGCTCCTACAGCGATGATGCTCTTCTCCGCCGCGAGGAGGGCCTTCTCGAGGAGGTCGACAGTGAGGGTGGTGGGACAGACTGAGAGAACGTGGTCCCTGACTACGCGAAGGGAGTCAGGGAGGCGTGCGACTACGTAGTAGAGAGTGATGTACATGGGGGGGGGGGTTCTTGGGGCAAAACTCAGCAGGAAGGGCGGCGCGGTAGCGAGTGTCACTAGTGCGGATGTGGGTAATGAGGTCAGCGACAGTGGGAAAGGCAGTGAGGTCAGGAAAGAGGTACGGTAGCATGAGACGGCTCAGTGCAGCAGTGGCAGGGGAAGAGTAGCGCGCAACTACAGCGTCGTACAAGGTCTGAGCACTCTTGTACGGACTAAAGTGCACGCGCTCAGTGGTAGGGAGGTGGCGACGCACAGCAAGACGTGCAGCAGCATCGCGGGTGGCCCACTAAGAGCGAACAGTGGGGTCAGCATCAGCAGCAAGGGCAGGAGAGGCGCCAGAAGTGAGGTCAAAGAGAGAGAGACCGTCCGCCCTATCGCACTGTAAGAACAGCTGCAGGTCGTCGACCCAGACCTCAAAGTCAATGGCCCGACCCTCAGCGTCAAAAGCTAGGACACTAGGGGTAGCCATGACTACGACAGCGAAGCAGTGCAAGCAGTAGGGAAAGGGCACGCAGTGACAGCGGGACGGTGCTCACCGGGCAGGGCAAGTCGGGCGGCTCGGCAGCTCCTGGGCGGCTCGGCTGCTGCTGGGCGGCTCGGCTGCTGCTGGGCGGCTCGGCTCCCGGGCGGCTCGGGTGCAGGGCGGCTCGGGCGGGGCTGCTCGGCTGCTCCGGTACCGTGCGGTGGGGCCGTGAGAGCAGGGGCAACGGGGCCGGGAGTAGGGGCGGCGGTGTCGCGTGAGCAGAGGCGGCGGGGCCGCGAGATCAGGGGCGGCGGGGCCGCGAGATCAGGAGCGGCGGGGCCGCGAGAGTAGGGGCGACGGGGCCGCGTGTAGGGGCGGCGGTGTCGCGTAAGCAGGGGTGGCGGGGCCGTGAGCGCTGGGGCGGCGGGGCCGCGAGATCAGGGGCGGCGGGGCCGTGAGCGCTGGGGCGGCGGGGCCGCGAGATCAGGGGCAGTGGGGCCGTGGGCGCTGGGGTGGCGGGGCCGCAAGATCAGGGGCGGCGGGGCTGCGAGTGCTGGGGCGGTGGAGCCGCGAGATCAGGGGCGGCGAGGGCCGCGAGATCAGGGTCGGCGGGGCCGCGAGTGCTGGGGCGGCGGGGCCGCGAGATCAGGGGCGGCGAGGGCCGCGAGATCAGGGTCGGCTGGGCGGCTGGAGCAGGGGCGGCGGGGCCGCGAGAGTGAGTGGCGGCGGGGCCGTGAGAGAAGGGGCGGCGAGGCCGCGTGCTTAGGGGCGGCGAGGGCCGCGAAAGCAGGAGCGGCGAGGCCGCGAAAGCAGGGGCGACGGGGCCGCGTGTAGGGGCAGCGACGTCGCGTGAGTAAGGGCGGCGAGGGCCGCGAGAGCAGGGCGGCGGGGCCGCGCTGGTAAGGCCGGCCGCTAGGGCGGCTCGGGGTAAGAGCGGCCCGAGGCGCGACTCGGGATGAGTGCGCTTCGGGCAGGAAAAATTTTTTGAGTGGTGGGCCCTAGGCGCAGTTCCCACAGGGGAACCTGCTCGTTACCATGAGAAGAACTGAACGAGAATGGGATGAACTATGAGTGAAGTGAGTACAAATAGGAAACCCTAATTGGGTTGTACCTCCTATGGGATACCCCACTATAGCCTACACAACAGTATAAGCTATACAAAGTTATGACACTATGAAGGGCGCTTAGTAACTTATATTGAGTGTATTTGCAGGCAGGGATTCTTTCCCTGTCAAGTTGCAAAACTTTTTCACCCACAACCCTGTGTAAGTTAGACTCAATTGAGTAGGCAAGAACATAAGGAGAGGTCTTTTTTTTTCTTTAACATAGCATTAGACCTCGGTCCATTATTCGGGCGATGCGGTTAAACAAGGGGTGGCGGAGGGGTCTCTCAACTTATACGGAGCTAAACGCTATCAAATCAGACGAGAACGCCCCCTCCAATGTGCCCTGGCGTCTTCTTTGTAGGGTAGCCCACTAGGCATGTACAGTCTATTCATACGGAAAGCAATACCAGCAGAACGTAAACATTCTCAAGCACTACCAGTAAAAAGTGCCACTTGTCAAAACTAGAACTTATCGTAACTTTCACCCCAAGTTGTCTTCAATCATCTGAAGTTCGGTGTTGAGGCTGTTCCCACTAGAGAACACCTCCTTCATTTCCTGCACCTCCGCATCCACCTTAACAGCTGCGCTCAGCTCCTCTTTCCCCACCCACTCCTCCCGGATGGCCTGCAGCTCGTTGGCGACATGTGCCATGCTTGGTCGGGCTGCAGTGCGCTCCACGGTGCAGGAGAGGGCGAGCTGAGCCACACGCAGCACAGCATCCGCAGGGGCGTCCAAGGTGGGGTCCTTGAGGCTTCCCAGGTTTCCTGAGGACAGGCATTCAGATGCCTGAGGGAGTGAGTTGGAGGAAGACAGTGGGAGAAGGTGAGATTAGTCTTTGGTGCCATTGAGAAGATGATATCAAGGCCTTTGCGACAATGCCGATAGGTGGTGCGTACCACTAGCAAAAACCAGATATGGTACAAAAAGACCAAGTATTGGGTAGCGGAGGAGGGTGTTCCTTTACTGTTATTGTGACAATGGTATCACAGGCTAGGCGCTGGTCTTAGAGAATGAGGTGCTTACCCAAGGAGTGATCTGCTGACTCTTTCCATCACTCTCCAAGAGTGGCGCCTGTCCTGTGAGGACCACCAGCATGAGTACTCCAAAGCTAAAAAAAGGTTTAAAGGCACAGAATGATCAGAGGCACAGAATGATCAGAGGCACAGAATGATCAGAGGCACAGAATGATCAGAGGCACAGGATGAAAAGAGGTACAGGAAGATCGGAATAGGATGCAGACGAAAAAGAAGAGGCGGAGGCACTTTAGATGAGACTTGCCACCTGACCGCAGCATACCAGATTCATGTACTACACACACACAGTATTTGGGGCTCATCTCATTGGGTGTCAGCTCCTGCATTGTATCCAAGGTTCCTGTATTCTGCAATGATTTTTAAGCGTCTCCTGCAACTCTTCTACGGGTCTTCTGCAATGCTTTTAAGCATCTCCTGCCATGCTTCTCAGAAAACTCCTAGTTCACCGTAGACGTCACTGGCAGCGGTGGCCATGGACATGATCGAGTGGACAGGATGATGCGCGTCGTGCACATACACTTCAGAACGTCTAAAAAGTTAACATCTGTAGACCTCACTGCCCTACCTATAGATATAGGGCTGCAGTGCGACTGATGTGGTGGAATAAACAGGATCCACATAGCCCGGTGTACCCATGACATGCGACGTGGCAACGCTCTTTTAGATGTCTAAAACTTGCTCACCTGTAGACGCTGGTTACATGTGCACATTATTGCCTCACCAAGGGCTCCTACAATGATCACCTGTAGGCACCACTACCTCACTCTAGGCTGTTGCAATGGTTACCTGTAGACATCACTGGCTGCAGTGGCCTTGGACGTGATGGAGTAGACCGGATCGACATAGCCCGGTGTGCCCATGATGCGCGTTGTGCCCACACTTGTGCCCTCCCCCATCCTCACGAGCCCAAAGTCTGCAATCTTTGCCTGGTAAAATTGGTGAGAGTTTTTGTAGCATGAGAGATCAGGAACAGAGCATGACGAATGGTCGCTTGTGGTACTATCCACAGAAGAGCAGAGACTGAACACATAATGCGATTGTGAGAGAGGCTGAAAAAATGGTTGCTGAAAGAAATGCGATATTGAGTTCGAAATTTTCGAACCATATAGGTGTAGAAGTGTGCACGAATCAAGAGCATACTACACTAGTATGGTTGCATAGCTTCACCAAAATCTGAAAAAGCTTTGCCTTCACCATAAGGAAGCAATTCTTACACCAAAAGCAATGCTTGCCTGCATGCTGTCGGTGATGAGGACGTTGGCAGGCTTGATGTCGCGATGCACGATGCCAAAGCTGTGGAGGTACTCAAAGCCCCTTGCCATGCCGATAAGAATGTCCAGCCGCTGCTTCAGAGTCAGAGGGCGCTCTGCCTCTGCAAGGAAGAAGTGCCAGAGGATGATTGGCACAGCAGATGAGTGGGAGAGGATGAGTGGCATTGAATGAGTGGCAGATCAAGAGTGGCCAAGGGCAGGCTACATCTGAAGAATGCGTGGCACAGCATGTGTGTGGCGCAGCGCATGACTGGCAAGCTGCTTTAGAGTCAAGGTCACGCCACGATACAATTGACACAGCAAATGAGTGGCACAGAAAATGAGTGCCAGAGCATATGAGTGGCGCAGCATGAGTGGCAGAGCATGTGTGGAATAATATTGGAGAGGCATACGTACTTAGACCGATCCATTTGTTAAGATCGCCGTTGGGCACGTATTCATAGATGAGAACTTGCTCTGGCTGTGTCCTCAAGTCTCCTCCGATTGCAAAGCCAAGGAGCTTCACAATGTTGGGATGGTTCTTGTCGGCCATCTGCTGGATCTGAGAGTAGCCAAGAGAGAAAGGGCGAGTAGCAAAGAAAAACAGATTGCAAAGGAGAGCTCCGAACAAATAGCAGAACAAGCTCGACAAATTGAGGAACTGGTTTGCAATTTCATGCCTGCAAAGGCTTGTGAGAAAAGGCTTTGTTTGCTCCACCACGGCTCACTGACCTCCTTCTGAAAGCCCACGTCAATCAGCCTGGCGCGCTTCACAGCCCACACGGTGGTGCCATCGCGGGGAGACACGCCCTTGTACACATCGCCAAAGGCACCCGAGCCCAGCTGGTTGTCGGGGGACCAGTCATTGGTGGCCTTGAGGACTTCTGCTATAGCGAACTCGGTGCAGTGTGAGGCTGCCAGGCTGCTGGCCAGGCCTGCTTGTAGTGTCCGAGGTGAAAGGAGGAGCATGGGTGCAAGGGAACGTGCTTAAGCAGGATTATCAAGTCGGCAGGTCGAGTTGAGTCTGGTTGAGTCGATTCAGCTTCAGTCGAAACATCATGTGCTGAGTAGAATCGGGTCAGACCCGTGACTTGCCCCAGCTTGCTTCGTGAATTGTCGTTGCGACCCAGCGTGTATGTGATTTCACCGGTCATAAAATTGACAACTCCATATGTACGCCCGGGTTATACAGAGCCCTGAGAGACTTTTGAGTCGACTCAAAAGTCAACTCAGAGTCCTGAGAGACCCTAAGAATTCGCAGTTCCAATACTTTACTTCTTAAAACAATTGACTTCTTAAAACCATCTGTTGCCCCCTGAATTGTGTAGTCCAGCTTTACGTCCCTTAGGGTACATCCAATATTCAAGGCATACAGCAGCATGTAAGCTTGTGACAAAAGTCAAACTGCTTGTGGCGAGTCAATCTCGCTTTCAAGCCAACATTTTTCAGCAGCTGATCTTGGCTCGACTTCAGTTGAGTAGAGCATGACTAGGCTTGCACACTAGCATGCTCATGTCTAGGTACATGCAGTGAAAACCTTACTTTTCACGTATCGTAATGTTTGCACAAAGCAGACAGATGGCAGTTGTACCCTTTCTGGAGTGTACTTTTGGTTGCTTTGTTTCCGTACCTTTTGGCTGTAACTTGTGCCTGAAGTAAACCAGAGTGGCGACCAGAAGCAGGAGAATGACCACAGCAGCAAAAACAATGCCGATGATGACTCCCACTGACACTCCACCTCCACCTCCTGGTGAAGAAGACTCGCTGCTGCTGCCGCCGCCGCCGCCACTGCCGCTGCTGCTGCTGCTGCTGCTGCTGCTGCTGCTGCTGCTGCTGCTGCTGCTGCTGCTGCTGCTGCTGCTGCTGCTGCTGCTGCTGCTGCTGCTGCTGCCGTTGCTGATTCCTGCAAATGACATGAGCATAAATCCACACACGCTGTGGAGATTGCTGCAAAACGATCACTAACAGGGCTAGCACGTGAGGGGTTCTTTTTTCGGAACATGCCTTGTGCCGTGCAATGCCATGCACTCCCATGTGTTTCCATGCATTCTCATGCTCTGCATGCATTCCCATGTGCCATGCGTCGCTTGCTGTAAAGAGATTTTCTCTAACAATATATTTCTCTGGCACAACACTCTCAACTCCAAAACGCACTGTGCCATGCATCACGTCGTGTCTCGTTGCATTTCACTCTAAAATCATTTGGGAGGTGAGGTTATTTACCCGCCTGCAGATTGGTTGGTGCAAGTATTGCAGAAGGGTCTACACGTGCGGCAAAAGGATGTTCTAGGGGATTGTGTTACGCCACAGGTAGAGTTCTCAGGTGGGCATGTGAGGTTGGTGCCCAAGATGTTGCTGAAGAGAAAAAGGGGAGATGAAAATGCAAAAAACATGGGCACAGCTGCAAAGGTGGGGACGGTAAGGGGATGGTGGCTAGGAGGGGCATGGAGACATTGCCAGCACCCCGCCAAAAGCTGCAAGTCACTGTAACTCCTGCAAGAGTGTTCTATTTGAGCCAAACATGTGCTTTTATCGTGGCATCAGATCAGCGTATCCCCTCTCTCACACGGCTTACAAGTTTGTTTCGGGCTCAGTACTTGCTCAAGCCTACTCACAAGTTCCAAGTTTGGTCGAAGTTTGGCACTTGTTCGAGCCTTATGTTCTCTCCAACTTTGATACTTTTTGAAGCCTATTTACAAGTAGGGATGAGCAAGGGGCGAACACGAACATGTTCGTGTTCGCCCCTACGCGAACACATCCGTTTGCCGAACCGAACACTGTTCGGTTCAGCGAACACTTATAGCAAAAACAGGTGTTCGCCGTTCGCCTGTGAAGGCGTGTTCGGGCAAACCTCGAACACGTCCGTGTTCGTCGCGGGGCAAATTGCAGCAGCGGCCCGAACACAAACGTGTTCAGGCGAACCTCGAACACTATTTGGCGAACACTTAATGCAAAAAAAAAAAAACCTGTTCGTTTTTTTGGTCAACCCTATTTGCAAGTTCAGTTCGGGTTTGGTACTTGCTCAAGCCTACTCACAAGTACTTCAATAAAGTGAGGCCTCCAATGTCAGCAGGAATCTCCCCGGTGAGGTTATTAGCAGAGAGGTTTCTGCTGACACGGGTTGGACGGGAAGAGTGGGAGCAAGCTCTGTTAACCTCATGCACGCAGCAACACAGCAACATGCATCCACCCATCCACTTAAAGGCATGCATCCACCCACCCATCAACTTAAAGGCATGCATCCACCCACCCATCAACTTAAAGGCATGCATCCACCCACCCATCATCTTAAAGGCATGCATCCACCAATCCACATGAAGGCATGCATTGAGATGGCAGAAACCTGACAGTTCCAATGCGTGCGTCCATCCCAAGAGAATATGGATGGCAGGTTGGTACAGCGGGATGGCACAGCAGCAACTATAAGGTACAGAGCACCATTGAACATGTTACAGCATATTCCAGCATGCTTTGAAACAGCAACTGAGGTGACAAGACTGTGGAAGCCACACAGCAATCATTAAAATGAGTCGATGCCTGAGAGCGCAGTGCAGGCTTGGCACATAAAGATCGCCGTTCGGCCTTGGCCTGGCACATAGAACAATGATTTTAGTAAGCTTCATACAGATAGGTGAGGCCGTCAAGGAAGGCGAAGTTGGTGAACATGGGGCCACTCAGGGAATTGGATGAGAGATCCCTGTGCATTGTGTGTTGGGGGTTGAAAGAAGTGAGGAACTGAGAATAGCAGGCATGGCAAGAATCCCGGGAAGCACATGCAAGCGCCCCAAGGATGTGATGAGCCAAGATCCAAACAGGTGGGGGGCTTTGTTGGGAGCATAAGGGAAGAGAAAAAACAGCTTTGAACTGGGAGCAAAGGAAAGAAGCATTGGCAAAGGAGAGTAGTGAGGGTCGAAGGGGAAAGGAAGGGAGATTGAAATGGCTGCTGAATGGAGGAAGCATGGTGATTGAGAGGAGAATAGACCTGGGAAAGGGCACACGGATGGATGGCCGCAAAGCACACAAGTCGTGAGCTTTGAGATTGTGTCAACATGGCAAAGCAGGATATTCCTGAAGTACAATGGTTAATTTGGTTCTCCCAGCCCAGTGCTGTCAACAAGCCAATGGTAGTAGTTGGGATAGCCTATGAAACTTACAGGTTCTCCAGGTTGACCAAGCGGCCGAGAGAGGATGGAATGGATCCAACCAAGCGATTCCCTTGTAGATGCCTGATAGACCATGAAAAGCAGCCCAAGACAAAGGAGAGGGAGTGCACGGGGGAAATGAGCAAGACGACCCTAATTACGTGAGTTTGGAGTTGACTTAAAGTCACCTCGACCATGAAAAGCAGCCCATGCAGATGACGGGGAGGAATGAGCAAGACGGTCCTAATGCTGGCTGGCCATTAGCTTCAGTCAAGTTCATATCAATGCTATAACTGAGTAGAAGCAACCTCTGATTGCATCAGATGTTACAGAGGAAAGTCCTGACCCGACCAACTGTTGGGTGCAAAATGTATTTGCACGGCAACCTGCCGCCTATTCGTCGAGCAAGGTGAAAATTAAAGGTATGTGCTTTAAGGTAATTTGGTCTGTGTGGAATGCGTATTTTTGTGCTCTTCATTTTGGCGTTTACGGTTTGTGAATCACCGTAGCGGTTCTTGAGTTATGTGCATTTTAGTGTGAGGTTGCATTCATGCGTTTTCATGATTGTTCGTGTGTGTTTCGTGTGTTCGTGGCGTTTCACGAATGTGTATGAAGTTCCGAGGGTACATGAGTGTTCATGGACCTTAGCGTTCTGTTCATGAGAGTTCGCGTGCTGTTCGTGCTCGTTCATGAGCGTTCATGAGCGTTCATGTACGATCATGTTTGCTCATGACTGTTTATGTTTCGTTTATGTTTGTTCAGGCTTGTTTATGTTTTCTTCATGAATTTCATGTGCACCTTTCATGAGTGTTTACGGTGTGTTTCTGGTGTGCTGGGTGTGGGGCTCGAGACATTGACCAGCCCCTTTGACTAAGTCTTGCGCTGATCAAGGCTCGAGGCCATGAGCCCGAGCCTTGTTGCGCAATCATGGGAGCAAGGGCCGAAGGGTGCCAGTCGAGGCACACGCGTGGCCTGAGGCCGCAATTCAATTCGGAGCCACACGCGCGAGTGTGGCAGTGAGGTGGCGCGAGGGAAAAGACGAGCGCGCGTGGGTACAAGGTGGATTTCGGGGGTGCCATGTGGGGCCAGCGAGATTTCGCTTGACCCACGAGTTGTTTGTACTGATCCTCCGAGGTGGAAATTTCGCCAGGGTGTTTCGCGAGGTGCGTGATTTACTTTCGACGCTGGTGCAAATTGAGCGAGGTGGAATTCAACGACTTCGTAACTTCGTCACGTAATTGTGCGAATCGCTCATGTGTTTTCATTTCATGAACTGTCACGTATGGTCATGAGCTGTCATGTTCGCTCGTGGAATTCCGTGGGCAATTATGGGCTACACAATTATGCGTGGGCGAGTATGTTGCCACTGATTTTGCGTGGAGACAGTTTGGCATTTCGGAGTATGGTGCTAGCTATTATTTCGGTGGGCTGTTAGCTTTCGCTTTTGGTGGGTTAGTATTAATCTTTGCTTGTGCTTGTTTGTGATCAATCGTTGTGAATTCTTTAGTGAATGAATTATTGCTCTTACAGCGTATTGACGTGAAGAGTAAAATCTGCACACGAGCCAATCCGTCGTCAACGCTGTGCTAAGGATTTTTGGGAGCGCTCTAGTGCCGTCGATTGAACTTACACTTGGTGTGTCCCTCTACAAAACACGGACCCTTGGTTAGGGGCTGGTTCTACCAGGCACCCCAGGACCCTTGGAGGTGACCCCGTGGGGACTAACTAGTGTGTATTAAAGGGCGTGCATAGAGCTTTTAGATCCGAATAGTGGTTAACACCAACGAGAAATCCCGGGTCGAGTCGGGCCGGCCCGACTCGACCGGCCATTTGCTCATGCGCGACCTTTTGATTGCCTGAAAATCCTAGTTTTCGTACTTGCATGTGGCATCTAAGTTATGTGTATAAGGATTCACTGTCATGGGTCTTGAAGTTTATGAGATCTTTGATTAGGTTTAGGCAAGGTGCTTCATACAGTAGATCGAGTTGCACGAGGTCAGAGATGCTGTTGGGAATGGATCCTGTTAACCTGTTGTTTGACAGAGACCTGTGTGTGTGTGGAGTGGGTCAGGGTGGAAGAATTGAGGAGATGAGAACAGAGGGCTTGGACTGAGTGACAGCAAGCACACATGCAAGAAGTGAAAAGCGAATCGCTGTTTGGTTCGAAGTGTCATGCTCGACTCTGATTGGCTGAATTGGATCGAGTCACAATCCCATCCCGATTCGACGCGTTTCGGTGTGTAGAACCTGGCCTGGGAGGGGGACAGCCGTTGGAGGAGTTGGATATTCAGCCTTCCTTCAATGTGTTCATATACATTTCCTCCCAAAAAACTTTGATTTCTTGATCGTGCGTGACTCCTAAACTATGCGACCTAGGATAAAGTCTTAAGAGAACTAGGGTTTATGCAAACATCAATCATGTTCGTGCTTAGAAGCTTCATACAGAAGGGTGAGCTGAGAAAGCCCGGAAATGCTGCTGGAAATAGACCCCGTCAAATTGTTGTTTGACAGAGACCTGTGTGTGTGGTGTGGGTAAAGGTGGAAAAAGTTGGTGAGAAGTTGGTGAGGCTTCCCAAATGTTTGTTTATACTAACCAACCAATGCGAAAATAGTCAGTCAACCACAACCTGCAACTTTGAAGGAACCTGAAACTCGAACCTGTTCTAGTTCAGATTAGGGCGTTGCGGAGATAACTGCTACAATGGGAGCTAGACTACGGGCTAGGCACGGGTGCTCGTGTGATCTCTGCGTTCGTTGGTCCTTAGTCGTTTTCCTAGTGCTCACACTGCTTGCTAGTTCACGGGGCAATTTGGCAAGAGTTTCACTAGAGAAAGTTGACAATAATAGTCCAAATCAGCTGGCATGGCAAGACTACATCATAGCTTGCATTCAGGTCAGTCGACTGCCAGCACAGCATGGTCGACCGCGTTCCAGCACGACTTGGTCGACCGCGCTCCAGCAGTGCAAAGTCGACGGCGTGCCAACGCTGCAGGTTGACGGTGTGCCAGCATTGCTCCCGCAGAA